AGGCTGGCACTGAATTAACCACATATGCATCTCATAATACTATGATTTGTGGACATGATTAATATCTGAGGTTAAATACATTCAAGCAGTTACAAAATGGTTCTATGAGAATTGAGACTATGACATTGATGCCTTGCTGGAGAAAGACAAATATTCAGGAAATGACATAAGTTAATGGAGGACCAAATCCTCTAGACCAGCTGTCATGTGCCTTTTGCGGTGACTCAGGGCATGTGGTCATTGGCCACATGAAACTGTACCCTTGTAGGTTTCAGGAGGGCACTGTGGAAACACTATTCATAAAAAATATATATGTAGATTCTAGCCTTGAATTGCTCTTACCGAGGGTGCCACGGTGCCTGATTTTTCACAAAATTTTAAAACATGGCCCCATCATAGCCACAGTAATTATTAAATGTGGTGTCCAAATGCCATAGCAATCCAAGTAATCTTGATATCTCTTCTTGCTACTATTGGCTCATTTCACCCAATATATGTTTATTGTGGTTGCAGTACAAGAATCCTTGTACTTGAAGTGCTGCTAAGAACCTTTGATGTAGCATCTCACTAAACTTGCATGTTTTGGTGGAGGGATACTGATACTTGCAAATTGAGTTATTCCAAACCATGCAGCTGGTATTGAGTTCAGGGATCAGCCCAAAAGTGCCCTTTCCTCTGAGGAAGGGCAACAAGATGATGTTTCCTATTTATTTCATGCCTCCCAAAATGTAACCAAGTTGATGAAATGCTCAGGAATCGCTACCTCCAAAACAGAGCTGTGCTTATGTTAAAGCAGCCTTCTTCCAGCTTTCCTCTTCTGGCTCAGACCATCAACACCGAAAGTGGGCGTGGCTTTACTAGGCAATTGAAAGCAGAAAGAAACGGGATCTTGCTGTGGCTGCATTTTGGCTGTAAGTGTAAAGCTGAGAGGCATTGTAGGCCCCCACCTGTCCAGTGAGCTTCAGCATCAAGCTCTGAACATTGTGCTCGGCAAGTCCCTTCCAGAAGGCCACCTTTTGGAATGCTCAAAAGGCACAGTGAAGCCAAAGCTGTTCCTTTTCATCCATAACAGACGCTGGTGTGTGTGCTACAAGTGGTCCTAGGTTCTTTGAGTATACTCCCTCATTTTGCACAACCCGGGATGGTAGTATTTCGGCCAGTCTTCCCATGAGGAGCACAGTTTCCACTATGTACACTACACGTTCCTGTGGATCTTGCACTAGCACCACTCCCGAGAAAATGTTTCTTGAATGAATTGTGAGACAGATACATATTTCCTAAAAATGTGGCTGGTGCTGGCTAGGTCTGCTAAGAAGGCTCCCAGCACCATGTCACTCAGATGATTGTGACAGTCATGAGAAGACAGAGCAGACAGCACAGATCTGCTGCATGTCTAAGAAAAGCAAGATCTTGGAGCGGTGGGTGTTGAACCTAACTTGGGGGTGTCCTCTCAGTACTAGACAGGGAAGGCACTAACAACCAATCACACTGGATTACACCCACAAAGCAGGCATGAAGGGGGCTTGAGGATATGTATCACTGACTTCCTGGGTACCCTGTCATGAATAAAAGCATCTGTAATTATTTGTGACCTTTCTATCTGTCACCAAAAACAGGCATACCGCCCCTTAATTAAGGGGCAATATAGGGACAGGGTGTGTGTGTGTGTGTGTGTGTGTGTGTGTGTGTGTGTGTGTGTGTGACAGAGAGAGAGAGAGAGAGAGAGAGAGAGAGAGAGAGAGAGAATAAAAGACAGTACACTGGCCAATTGACTTTGTAATTAACAGGCCCAAGGACTGGTGACACCCCACACCCAACCCCCACCAAACTGGACTTTCATATATCTCTTTTTACAGAATCAAAAAAATTTGTGGTGTTAGGATGGAGCCTAGTTGGTAAAGCGTCTGAGGTCTCAGGTTTGATCTTCAGCACTGCATAAAGTAGATATGGTAGCAGCAGACCTGTAACCCCAGCACCCACGAGATGGTTGCAGTCATCCATGACTTCCCAGGGAGTACAAAGCCAGCCTTGACTATGTGAGATGATGGCACAAGACAAAACAAAACAACAGACTCAAACTCACCTCCCTTTTGGCTCTAAGAGAGAATCACCTCCTATAGTCTGTTCCACCCTGGAGAATCTGCCTAACTAAGGGAGATCCACATCCCTGAAACCACAAACCTCTACTTTCCCTAAAAGGATTGCAGCGCACACAAGGCTCATCTACCCCAATTTCTACACTTGTCCATTCTCCACCTACCCACATTAAGAGCTACCGCTCTCCTAGGGCGGTATCTAAGATTTCCATAGACACCATGTATGCCCAGGCACATCCCTCTTGTAGCCGCACCCACCAGATAGAGTAAGTTTAGGTAGGCCGAACAGCAGGTTCTGGATAGACAGCTTTATGGAAGAAGGGACCACTGTGTCATCCAAAATGCAATCACTCACAAAATTATTATACTGCTGTTTTTTGTTCCTACTAGAGTAGATCCCAATATACCCTAGAGTATTTGAAAAGGGCATCAGAGCACTGACTATGTTTCAAGTTCACCGAGTGTTGATAAGTCCAAAGAGTTAAGGCTTGTTTTTGCCACCGATTCTACTTGATGAGCCTGACATTTCCCTAAATATTCACTTGTTCACTCACTCAAAATATTACTGAACACCGATTTGCACTGATGCATTCTTGCATCAGCCTGAGAATTCAGCACTCGGCAAAACCTCCACCCTCCTGGAGCCAACATTATAATAAAGAGTAACAGACAAGAAAAAAACACACACGCGCGTACTGCAGGATTAGGAGAGCTCAGAGACAGGATGGTTTATAACTGCAAGGATCCTCTAAAGACACAGATGAGGATGAGGAGAAAGGGTGTTCTAGTAAAAGCTGTAAAATTACCTCAGGATATTTCTTACTGCTTAGCATGAATAATTGGGGGCATTTTCCTACAAATAAATAACCTAAGAGGTAAGTTTTATTTTCCTATGAGAAATACAAAGAATTCTGCTCCCTGGCAGTCATTGAGGAAAACCCTCAGCTCTGAGCGCAGGGACAGCCAGACATCTTCCCAACCCGGCACACTATGCCTGTCTTCCAGAGTGGGTTAGGGTTGGGAGTATCACATAAGCAGCATGTCAGATGTTCTAGGCAAGTTTCATCTTCTCTGTATCCCAGTCCTGGGCTGTCAATCAGCTGTCACTCGTCCGAACATCAGCCAGGTGCGCACATCACCGGGCTGTCAGCGAAGCTGCTGCTGAGACTCGGCTCCAGCTTATCAATCATCTTTGTTTCTCTTCTCTATTCAGAAAATATTTTGGCTCAGAGAAACAAAGAAACCTGGGCAATGATGGTTCACAGTCAAGCATCTCCTCCTGTGCATGGACATATGACTTCTCACTAGCACAGATCCTGCCTTGCCCCGGGAGATGCCTGGGTATTGGGTTGACAGAGGGAAGAGAAAGAATCTGTCTTGTTGGCACAGGCTTTAAAACTGTAATCCCAGTTACTTTTAGTTCTCCAAGCAGACCCTTATAGATTCTTATATTATAACTGGCAAAGTGCAGGAACATAAAATAATGGTAACTCTGAGTTATCTATACTCTGCTTCAGAAAATAAACAAATGACTGAATGACTAAATAAGACAACTCAGGGGGCTATGACTGCTTGGGTGGAAATTAGTCAGCGTTGACTAGGAGCTGGGGAAGGAAGAGTTGCTGGGCTGCTGAGCTCACTCAGTTCTCTACACCTTCTTCTCTGGGGCCTGCGGTGGCTTGGGACACTCACAATGAAGAGATTGAACTCCCGTGAAGTAGGAATACCGGTGCTGACACCAGACACTTCAACAGATCAATGTCTGGCATACTGTCCCCCTTGTTCAAAATAGCCCACAACACCAAAACCTAAATAGATGCCCTAAAACAAGTTAGCAGCAGAGTAACAAACCAATGATGGGTGATTATCTCCTTTTCGACCCCACAAAGTCAATATATGCATATGTTTGCATGATAAGTTAATTTGTCATACTATAGATCCAGATAGGACCAGATTCTCCAAAACACCCTTATATTAAAAACAAAGACACATTATTCCCTGGTGGCTCTTGAACATATTCAGCCGCTACCAGTGTTTTGAACCGTGTTTATCATGAGTCTATCACCTATCAATTGTCAAGTGCTCTGAGCAGACTGTTCCATGCTGTGTAAGCTCCATCATTATTTCAAGGTTTGTGCCATGGGACTGTTTTCCCCTCTGACAGGTTCTTTCATATGAGCACTGCTGATTCTGAAAGCATGTCTCTCTCTGATCTAAGTGGACATTAATTGCTTTTGTGTTGACGTATCTACAGCTCTTGGTCTGATAGTACAAACAGCAAATCTGATGCCTGACAAGTCGGCTGAACCTAATCAGGACAGATCAGCTGTTACCCAAGGTGCCACTGGCTGTAATTTTGGGATCTTTACAGAGTTATCGCTTGCCAGAAAGACAAGGAACTATAATTCTGTCAACACTAATCCAGAACTGCACGTTCAAAGCAGCTGCAGCTTCTCCTGTGCTTGAGAAAAGAGAGCACGTGTCAAATAAATACCCAAGATCATGGATAAACCGGAATTAGAGGATGGGGTAGAAACTGTGATACGGGAATCTTTTTTTTTTTTCAAGGAAACTTCACAAGCAGAAGCATGAGCCCTCAGGGACAAAAAGAGGTCTCTGACAGGACACATACCAAACCCTCATCCATCTGCTGCCTGCTCTTTATTGGGCAACTTGGTGCATATTTGTTTCCCTTTCTAAATCAGCAAATACCCAAAGAGTCTAAGCCTTAGAAGGGAATCTCACAGTGATGACGTGGGCTGCCACTCGGCGACAGTGCCTTGGTGGGAAGCAAGTGTGTTGTCAGTGACAGAGGATTGTCAGCGTATTTTCCTCAGACTCCTGTGGTTTTCTTATAGTCAGAGAAACGAGAAGGAATATTAAGAAAATAAACTTCTTTCTTACTGTATCGCTTTGGTCCATCTTCCAAACAAAATGAAAGAGTTAATGTGGCATCATCTTCAAAAAATTCAGTGGCAAAGGCATCCCACCAGAGATTGTCACTGTCCTGCAAAGAGACAGGTCATTCATTTAACAGTCACAGGCAAAAGCAGCAAACACCTCAAAGAAGGCAGAGAAATGGTGGAGGTAACTCATAAAACAAACAACAAACTCAAAACCGTGGCTCCCTCGCATTGGTGTGTAAGTCTATCCTGGGAGGAGGCAGGGACTGCCTAGTCACTTTTCAAATTAATTGCTTCAAATGTGGCCCAAAGTCAGCTTCACTATACAAACTAACACCAATGAACCAACTCAACCAACTAAAAATTAATTTTTGAGGACATGCTTGGAGAGATTTTTAAAATGTTGTTCTGTAACGCAATGGCTGTGTCTTTATGTTTGTGTTTGTTTAATATGAATACATTCAGGATTCATATTGCTTTAATTGTTTTCATTTGCTGTCTGCTGTCTTAAGAGTCCATTTTTTGTCAGTAGAAAACACAATATTACAAGCAGGATAACAATGTTTTGGTGTTGTTTGTGATTTGATCAAATTGAGATGCCCATGGTTTTACGTTTTATACAATAATATCATTGCAACAGAAGGCCATTGTAACACACACACACACACACACACACACACACACACACACACACCTATGCAGCAGCAACTGTTTCATGCCTGTGAATTTTCTTAAGATTGCTTTTTAAAGCAATAACTCGCTTGACATTAAAACAGCTGTGAAAAATAGGAAAGTTCAGGAGAACGCAGGACCTCTACCCAGCGGTTTTGTGTTGAATGTTTCCCTTGTTCTTCTAAAAAAATACTTGAGGAATGCGGCTGGAGGTCACTCAAACTGCCCTAGTCCTCCGAGGGATGAGGGGTCCCAAAGCAGAGACTGATGCAGTGTCCAGCTTAAAGAAGGAGGCTAGGGTTCAATTCAACCCCAAATTCTTAAGCAAAGTCTTTCTCCAGAGATGGTCTGCTCTGGTGCCAGAGTGGAGGAAAGAAGGCTCTCAGCTGCCTGTCAGATGAGGTAGAGTGCAGAGTGGAATCACTACTTACTTTGCTCTTCTCCATGGTCCCCGAGGCTGGGGCCCTGGCGGAAACACTGCAAGCTCTCTACCAAGCATTAAGCTGTTCTGCTTATGATAACATTAAGTTGCTGTCACTGGAAGGCCTTAGGAATGAGCCTCCATTCCTTACAAGAACAATTAAGACTCCTGAGAAGATTGATGTCGCCCTCTCCCGCAGAAAGGAAGAAGCTCAGACAAATGAATGTTTCTGTCTCCTTCCTCTGGATTTCACCCAATAACCACATTACAGCCAATGCTTTTCCTTAAAAAACAGAGCAGTAAATACAAAACCACCCCAGGACCGTGCATAGACCCTCATCCAAACTACCGCCCTGCTCTCCTTTCTAAAAATATTTTATTGATAATTTACTAGGTTTGGTACTATAGAGCACACATTGAATAAGAAATGGATTGTACCCTCAAAGCCCACTAGCAGACCACGAAATGAGCAATGTAAAGACAGCCTTGATCATTTCTGAGATCCCCCCTTACCACCACGCAAGCTATATATTGTGGAAGTTTCTAGAACATTTAGAAGTTCATGAGTTTGGAAGTAGAGAAATCACTTTGGAAAATGAACTCCATTTGTAATGTAAACTCACTGGATTATCTGACTTTAAGTTGATGAAAGGAAAAAAGAAGCCACCCCTTAATGATATTCAATGCGTGACAAATGCTTTTCTGACTGCCTTTTCTGTGTTTTCCTATCTAATCCACAAATCTATTATTTTTCTTTTTATTTTGCGTACTTCTTCAGTATAAAGATTAGCTTCCTGGGATCAAAGGTTTTCTTTCCCTCCAGCATCCTCCAGCCACAGAATGACATCAAGCCCATGGTATTCTCAATAGAAGTTATTCCATGAACAAATGTAAGTATTCAGATTATTTTCTAGGCCTTGCAACTGTGAAAGCTAAACTTTCAGTAGGAAATTTAACTTACCAGGTATGCTCAGCCAGCATATGGTGGGGATAAGACTTAGAACTAGAACACAGGATGTCTCAGACTTTTCTCTGCCTCTGTACTCCTGTAGCTATCTGCCACATTTTCCTACCAGTCTTAGCTAGAGAAGGGGATTCGGAATTAGGAAGAAGGGAGGGATAGTGGAAACATCCGCCCCATTCTTCCTCCTGCTCTCTCCTTCGTAGTGTAGACTTGTTGCCAGGACTCATGCCCAGATTTGTTAGGTACTACGTCACTGCTGGGATTTCCTTCTGTGGACAAGGCTGTCCTTCCTACCTTTTAAAACGTGGGTGGCTTAACTGACTTAATTCTTATTGTAAATAACTACAACCAGAAAAGTTGTTGAAATAATGTCTACCTGGCAGAGTAGCTGTGTGAATGAACTAGGTTAGAGGCTGGAAAGTTCCCACAGATGTAGAATTCCATGTGGATCAAGAAAATGCCGTTTCTTTGCCTCTGTCCACCACCTCTACATCAGTCCTAGGACCCATGCCATGTTCAAAAGAACTTCATTAAAAATGAATTCTACCGAGTAATTTTGAATGTGTCACATTGCTTTTCATGTTTTACCCATTTGTAGCCCAGACACCAGGCCCCAGCATCTAGTTAAAGACTTGAGTGGAAACTAGAAAGCTTTGTTTTTGTCTTGATTAATAGTTGGAGATCTGTGGACTGGATCAGATCTCCACATCCATTTCCCTGCAGCTGACTCTTGGTCTGTGAGACAGCAGCTGCAAACAAAAATGAAGGAGACGTTAGGGCTGCTATGAGACTGTTGGCAGTTAAGGGTAGGACTAGGCTACATTAAGGTTGAGAACCATCTCTGGATAGCCTTACATATTCTCAGAAAAGCTTCCATGAGTGTGAGCACAAGTTGCAAAAGGCATATGACCATGTCACTTGATACAAACTAACTTCAGGAGAACAGGTTTACGACAAGTATGGCACATCAGCGGCAGCACCCAGAAACAATATTGTTACATGTCTTTAAAGAACACCCCACAAATAGGGATGGGGTATTTGACTTAATACTGACAAGCCTATAAAATACTGACTTTTTGACTGACTGGGTTTAAAAAACAAACAAACAAACAAACAAACAAACACCTTCTAATTGTACCCATACCTTATTATAACCCAATTTGGAAAACTCACTGAACAAAGCTGCCCAAAGAGCTTCACTGTTTGTTGAGTCTTTGTCCCTTGGCTGGTTTTCAACAGTCATAAAAACTTCTTGCTGTGTTTTCAGCCAGCAAGATGGTCTAGTGGATAAAGGCGCTCGCCATGCAAGCCTAACAACTTACATTCACTCCTGGAACCCAGAGAGGCTATTCCTGGGAGTAGTCCTTTGACTTCTACATGTGTGGTGGGGCATGAACACTATTGTTTTTATACAAGCACCACACTTGTGTGTGCCCACACGTACTCCTACTAATAACAATAATGATAACTGTTAAATGTAAACACCTCTGTTATATTTTAAGTTAGAAAAACACGAACGATCAAAGCTTTAAGAATAATTTTTAGTTATAGGGGTACAAATATTTGTATAAGGAAGAAAAAGAGCTTGAAAAAAGGCAAAATAAGAGTAAAAAAAATGATATTAAGCATAGCACAGTCGTGTCTTGGTAGTGCACAAGGATGCTGTCTGTGTAAAGCCCACACACCGAGAGCCCTGGGCTCAGAACGGGACCCATAGCCCAGTATTTCTAAGTGTTTTACATGCAATAAAACCCCTTATATTCATAACTGCCCTAATTGCCTCCAACGAGTGGAACTCACAGCCTTATGGGAATTTACGTCCTTAACCTCTGTGTCCCCCTAACTTGACTATATAAACTCTGTCTCTTAACGGCTTAATGACCTTTGCCAATCCACCACGCCAATCCTGTGTGTGTTTGTTGCTTTGGTAAGGGAATACTAACCCTGGTGGTCTTTCAGGACTGAGAAGAAAGCTGAGTGTAGTGACTGTTTGATAAATCCTGTTCTGAATATTCCTTATGGTCTCATTTGACACTTACATCACTCGTAAAGAAAAAAAAAAAGTCTAAATTCCAAAAATGTTAAGCTACTCAATAAACCTAAACAACAAGACCGTGGTGGGAAAGTTTATACACAGTGTTTCTGGTTCCAAATCTACACACTCTCTTCTCTCCAAATTCTGCTGAGATAGTGATTTTTTTCCCCACCTTGAAATGGATCACAGGAGTTGGAGCTAGCACTAAGCTGGCACGAGTTCAAGGATGCTTCTCATGAAGAAGCCTCCTCCTCCAGCCTTTTACGGTTTGGGGAGCCCCATTCACACATTTTTTTTTCTGGTGCCAACCTCCCTTTTCACTGCCTGCTACAGTTCCTGGGGTGGGGTGGCAATCTTGTAGATTAAATCGACGTACAGAAGAGGCTGCTGGGCCTTCCTAAAAATACCCCCATTACAGCCATGGTGACCCCTGCTGAAAAATCAGAACCCTTTGCAGAACATCTAGAATACAGACTGGTAGAAACCATCTATATCAGTAGTCCTGTGTTATGGTGTCATTCTCATGGCCTGGGAAATTTGGCAAACATCAAATCTTGTTTTCCACTTCTGATGGCCCCTGGGCTAGGGAAGCTTGTCAATTTAGACCCCACTGAAGTGCACAGGAAACTACTCTTGACTCACAGCCTTGTAGCATGCTTATACACAGTCTTGACTGTTGCATTCGGTACTGTTGCCTTTCTATCTCTAGCCAGATTCCTTCCTAGAAAGGAGCAACCAAGAGGTTAGCAAGAACCTGGGATGAACAGGAGAGATCCTACCATAGCTAATGAGGATATTCCAGGAGTACTGTAGGAGTCTGGGGATTTTGAGTGAGGAAATAGGGGATGTAGGCAGTGTTTCTATCAAAGCTGCATCCTCTCTCTCTCATACCACTCATGGTCACAGGCATGCAGGTTCAATGTTTGCACTGAGGCAGAAGCTTCAAGACTTGTCTCTCATGCACACTGCAAATCTGGAGCCAACTTTCAGGGATGGTTCCTTGTAACACATG